AAAGAGAAAAAACTTGACACAGGTACAGTTTTTACACCTAATACCCCACAGTCAGCCCACAAACCTAGAGCCAGTTGGTTTGTTGGTACAGTCTAATAGCTGGAGGGGGAAACTAATCCCTGGCACAGGATGAGAGACTGCTGAACTCCTCCCCTTGACTATGTCACATACAGCGAGTCACAGCAATGTTGTTTCCCCCCACTCTTTAGTAAAGAATCAGAGGAATGGGTGCAATGCTGGTCCTCTCTTGTGTTAAGGAAAGATGAAGTTTAATGGGGGGTTGGCCACTGAGCTTGGTGGAGAGATGTTAGCACGGAGGGGAAGCTGTTGTTTGTCTGCCTGTCCCTGACACTCGGCCTCCCATTCATCTCACTCCAAGGCTGCAGAGCTGTGTTTACCCTGGGGCAGCTCTCTTCTGATTCTNCCCCCCCCCCCCAATCGCTTTTCATGCTGTCTTTAAAAGCATTACTGGATGATCATCAAGGATTGCCTATTGAAAACTTTCAAACCCTCATTTCTGTGTACTTAACAATAATTATCCAGACTTGCCCTTGAGGGCTAGAAACCTGTAGCAGTAGTATCTTTTTATAAATGTTATTTACATTTTTGTGACTCTGTGGAAGACGTTAGGACTAGTTGTGTTCTATGTATTTAGATATATTTATAAACTGTGTATGTGGCATGTTTAGTTGAATAATATACATTCTCTGTGTCAGGAAAGCATGATGATTTTTGGCTTTTTGTTTTTCTCATGAAAAGTAAAAACTAACATTAATATTTTTAGGTTAAAATATGAAGACTTAATAATTGGATGACAGCTAATTGGGTTAGAGTTGAGTTTCCAACTGGAAGTCTGGGAGAACTTGCAGTGTGTGAAGTATTGCTGCAGCTTTTTATAATTCAAACACAAGTGATAGAAATATTTGCTCATATGAAGTAAAACCCATTTTAATTTTACAAACTAAATTGATTTTCTCGTATTTGGAGTATGTTTAATTATTAATACTTGGGATATTTAAATTTATATTGTTCCTTTATTTTAAGGCTGTTTTATGGATTATTTTTACTGTTTTTCTTTGGCTTTTTTGCGCTTTAACACCAATGCCACTATGCTAAGCTGATATTTTTTACATCTCTGTTCATGCAAACTGAAGAATGTTTTTATTGTTTGCACTTCAGTGTAGTTTGATCAAACTGAAACAAGGTGTTTGTTGACAAATCTTACATTACATTTTTGATATCTTTAATTTCTGAAATTGAAATGTTGCCACAAAATATCTTTCTTTGAGCTCATGTCTTGGTATTAAAAACATTGCAAACAAATTTTTTTTTTTATTTTCTTGTAGTATTTGCCAAATATATCTGTGGCAAAATATTGTTCAGTTAATGTAAAATAGAGTATATTTTCTTACTTTTCATTTTCTGTTKTCATTACAATGCTGACACTTACTGTCTGGTTAAGCATCTCGACTACTCTCATCAAACCCAGGTGTGGGAAGTGGAAGTCCGTCTGATTGCCCAAATATTTCTATTGGCACTTAGAATACTATAGCAGTTCAAACAGTCTTGAAATATTGATTTTGTAAACAAGGGTACTACCGTGATAATGTATTTTACCGTTATTTTGCAGTCCAAGTTGATGCAAGGCAGATTTTTAGGCCAACAGCTGTTTTTGAAAGAAACCATTGATTTTCTGCTGCTCTGTTTGTCTTCACGAGAGCATCACTCATTTTTGCTAAAATCAAAACTTTTTGAACCCAGGTCTCAGAGTGGAGGTTTTCGCAAACCTCCTGCAGAGGTGTGAAATTGCACAGGCAAGCTACAAACGACTGCAGTCAGTAGTTTTTCTGTACTTACGTAAATAGATGAACAACAGCAACAATGTCAGATGGCAGTGTGCTAATTATTTTTTCAACATGTAAGAGCAAAACAATATCATCCTCGGACCTAACGAAGGTTCCTATGTTCACCATTTTGGATGCAACCTGAAACATGCTAGAGACTCAGCAAACTGTTTGTAGTTCAAAACCAAGTGTGACAGAGCGTTAGTGTTGCCAGATATAGGATGATTACGCTTTTTGTAAGATAGTTGCAGAGTCAAACCACCTCTATCAATCACAACGCACACCTCATCTTACAGTCTACCCTTTTACCTCAGTTTGCACAGTTTGGGGCAAAATACAATCATTTTAAAGTAACATTACAGTTTTCATTTCCTATCTGGCAACCCCGCTACACATGTTTTGATTCCTAAATGTATGGAAACAGGCTTGTTTCTATATTATCTTTACTTCATTAGCTGCTTTAAGATTCACTTTTTTGAAAAAATACATTTTTGTTAAAGACATTTTTATTTTTTGTCGTTTCAAGAAAGTCTGTAACTTTTTTTTTTTAGACGCTAGCATTCATTAGCTCCTCTCTGCGTTCACATCATTGCCTCTGGCCCCACGAACAGGAAATGTAGCTTCCATACCGTGGCAGGGTCCAACAGCTCGAAGACTGACACTAAGAGGAGAGACTTTTGAGAATAAAATAACAATAATAACATGCGCTACTATTCTAATGGGTAAACTGAGCTGTTAAAAGGTGGCAGGGTTAAATGGATGCAGAGCACCAGTAATTGCTCCCAGCCGCCATCGCTCCACCCAGAACAGACCCTCGTAAAGTAAGACACAAAGTCTGATCCGGGAGTCCATGTTGTGGTCGAGGTGCGGAGGACACGCCCTCACATCTTTGCTTCATGTTGGAACTTTGGAGTTTCGCTTCGAACTGCATCACTTCATGGTCCTACACTCGCTTGCAGTTAAATTAGCTTGGCCATTGGAGTTGGAGTTACTTCGGGAATAATTATTTGTGTGAAATAATGTGTAGCTTGGCTAAATACAAATAGATAATCCGATAGAATCTACAAAACCGTGACAGAGCGACAAATGTGCCGACTTGTTTCTCTCCCAGTCCAAACAGACATTTATGCATGAAGCCACATGTAGATTCTGAACACAACAGAGCAACAGGAAAAGGCCTGGCTCCCTGTGTGTTCATTGTCTTCCATCAGGCTTGACATAAAATATGTCTCTAACCTTTGTCCCGCTCGTTTAGTCTCCTCATCCTTCCAGTCTCACTGGCATGCTTTGTTCCAGGTTATGTGTGAAAACTCGACACAACTCACTAAAGTCTTTTTATTTGGCTTTATTCCTTTCATCCGAGCAGGAGAAGATGTGAACCTTTTGGTCCTTTGTGTTTGTGTGCGCTGTTTCAAAGTGAGTTTACCTTGATGTGTGGGCTCCATTTGATTTGAGACAATGGCGGACCGTAAACGAGTTGGGACTGAGGTTTTTTTTTTTTTTTTTTCCATGGTCGGGGCCGTGCTGCAGTAAAAGCTGAGCTCGGAGTGGAGGAGCCGGAGTGTGGAATTCACTAATGGCACATGCATGTTGGGGCCCCTGAAGAGAGGGGGTCATTTCAGCCATCAGAGTGTGCGCAAACACACAGAGAGCCTGTCTGCAGCTCCCCCCCCCACCACCTCCCCACTCACAGTCACTCCTTTCCTCCCCCTCCGTAACAGAGTGCTTGGATCAGCAGGCGTTTTGTCTCTGCAAGTCTGGTCAACGTTTTTTTGCTAATCTTTGTATAAACTTTACTAGTGTGGGTCACTCAGCAGAAAGGTTTAGGTTGGGTGGGAGGCGAGCGAGGCATTTTTGTTTCGGCGCGGATCCACAACTCTCCACCTTAAAGGCGTTTGTTAATGGGGCGGGCGGTCATTAAGCCCCGAGAGCAGAGAGCCTGAAAGGAATGGGGCCACAGGCCCAAGCTTTAAATCCTCTGTGCCAATAGACTCTCTGAAGCAAAATAATGGCATCACTCTGTGTGTGAGTTAATGGGAGCTGATAGCATGAAGGCTGGGGGGTCAGCGGGTCGCAGGCTTGTGCTAAGTTGTCAGGGAGCTGAATGCCGTCCCCGGGCCCACAGCAGGGGGAAGAGCCGGGCGGAGGGGGGAGGGT